TAAAGCTCCCTAGAATTCTAGCATTTTATAAAGAATTCAGCATATACCCAGGATAATGTTCAACCTAACAGCTTCCCACAATACTTCAGTGAACCTCTTCAGTCCCTGGAAACAGACATTCCTCAACATGCTTCCTGGTCTCTGACTTTACACCACCCACACGGGCTCAGGAATCTTTTCTTTCACATATATGTAGATGATTTCTAGATTGTTCTTTCCTTCTCCAGTCAATCATGGAATTCATGGAAAGCTTCAAACCATTTGCAACACCAAAATGACACAGCTAACAAAAATACTGCCTTCATGGGGTGCCTGGGTGGCTCAGCTGGTTAAGCATCCGACTCTTGATTTTGGCTCAGGTCATGTTCTCACAGTTTGTGAGTTTGAGCACCTCGTCAGGCTCTGTGCTGACAGCCTGCTTGGGATTCTCTCTCCCTCTCTCTGCCCCAACCCCAACCCCTGCCGCTCGTGTGTGCTCACTTGCTCTCTCTCAGAAAAAATAAACATTTAAAATATATACATGTACGTGTGTGTGTGTGTGTGTGTGTGTGCACGTATATTGCCTTCAGACCAAAAAAATACAGCTTTTAGTGAGTACCTATATTACAGTATATCTATCGGAAATGTACAATTTAAATATGACCTACAAATATGAAGCAATTAGAGAACCAGATGAAATACTGAGTGTAAGGCTATTTCCCACATAGCCAAAGTCACAGAAGTCAAGACCTACAGACTGCCCAAATGTTAAGCCAACCCTGAGGATAAAAGTAAGAGTCTCCTCTCATTTTATGAAGCCAGTATTACTTTGATTCCCAAACCAGACAGAGACCCAGTAAAAAAAAAAAAAGACCCTACGAGCCAATATTATCCCTGATGAATATGGATGCAAAAAATTTCCATGAATACTAACAATCGAATTCAACAGCATATATATTCACCATGATCAAGTGGGATTCATTCCTGGATGCAGGGCTGGTTCAACATTAATAAATCAATGTGATACATCACATTAATAAAAAGAAAAGAATAAAAGACCATATGATCCTGTCAGTAATGCGATGCAGAAAAGGCCAGCATAAAATTCAGCATCCTTTCTTAATAAAAACCCTCGAAAAATTCGAGGATGAAGAAGGAGCAAGATCATAAAAGCCATTTATGAAAAACCCATGCTATCATCTCAATGGGGAAAAACAGAGCTTTTTCCCTGAGATCAGGAACATGACAGGGATATCCCTGTCGCTGTTGTTGCTTTGTATGGTGTACAGAGTTTGCATCAACAATCAGACAACAAAAATCAAAGGCATCAAATTGGCAAAGATGAAGTCAAGCTTTTACTTTTTTGCAGATGACATGATATTGCCATGGAAAATCGATGGAACTCCAGAAGTGCTAGAACGATACATGAATTTAGCAAAGTTGCAGGACAAATCAATGTACAGAAATCAGTTGCATTCTTCACACTAACAATGAAGAGCAACAGAAAGACAAAAGAAAACTGATCCCATTCACAATTACCAAGAAGCATAAAATACCTAGAATAAATCTAACCAAAGAATGTAAAAAGATCTGTATGCTGAAAACTATATGAAAACATGAAGGAAACTGAAGAAGATATAAAATGGAAAACATTCGTGCTCATGGATTGGAAGAATAAATACTGTCAAAATGTCAATACTACCCAAAGCTATCTACACATTCAATCCCAATCAAAATGGCACCAACATTCTTCTTTCGAAACTAGAACAAGCAATCCCTAAAATTCATATGGAACCACAAGGCCCTGAGCCAATAGTAATTTGAAGAAAGACCAAAAAGCAGGAGAGGCATCACAATCCCAGACTTTAGCCTCTACTACAAATCATAATCATCAGAACAACGTAATTGTTGGCACAAAAAACGAACATAGACCAATGGAATAAAGAAGCCCAACTAGACCCACAATAAGCGTGTAGCCAACATCATCTTTGACAAAGCAGGAAGAAATATCAATGGAAAAAGACGGTCTTTTTGCTCAGCTGGTGCTAAAACTGGACAGCAACATGCTGCAGAGAAGAAGATTGAAACTGAACCACTTTCTCACACCATTCTAAAAATAAAATCAAAAATGGATAAAGGACACAGATGAATGAGACAGTATCAAATCTAGAAGAGAAAGCAGGAAAAGACCTCTCGTCAGCTGCAGCAAATTCTTACTTGACACATCCCAAAGGCAAGGGGAATTCAAAGCAAAAATGAGCGACTGGACCTCATGAATGCTTCTGCATAAAGAAGCAACCAACAAAACTAAAGGCAACAATGAATGGGAAAAGATATTTGTAAATGACATATCGACAGGCTAGTATCAAAAATCTATAAAGACCTCACCAAACTCCACACCCGAAAAAACAAATAACCCGGTGAAAATGGGCAGAAAACATGAATGAACGCTTCTCTAAAGAAGACATCATGAAGCATGGGTGAAAAGTAACGGTCGGTTAATCCGACTTCAACCAAGGTCCTATTATCTGCATACGCGGTCGTTCGTGAGTTCGAGCGCATCGAATGCAAGGCTGATGGCTCGAACCTGAACCTGTTCCGATTCTGTGTCTCCCTCTCTCTTCCCTTCTTGCATTCATGCTCTGTCTCTATTTAAAAATAAATAGCGTTGAAAAAAAAATTAAAAAAAAAAAAAAAGATCGGAGGATGGCCAACGAGGCATGAAAAGATGTCGGCGTCTCATCGGAAATACAAATCAAACCACACTCAGATATCACCTCACACCAGTCAGAGTGGCAAAATATGAACAAATCGGGGGCTTAGATGCTGAAGGGATATTGGAGGAAGGCGAACCCTCTTGCACTGTTGGTGGGAATGCAGAATGAGACACAGCCACTCTGGAAAGCAGTGTGGGGTTCCTCGAAAATTAAAAATAGACCTACCACCATGACCCAATGGGAGAAGTGCATTCACTGCTAGGAATTACCAAGGATACAGGAGTCCTGATGGTCATAGGAACTTGTACTAATGTTTATAACACTCTCACCAATAGCCAAATTATGGAAGAGCTAAATGTCCATCAACTGAATGGAACAAAAAAAACGTGGTTCATATACAATGAATTACTATGTGGCAATGAGAAAAGAATGAAATATGGCCCTTTGTAGCAGCAACATGGATGGAACTGGAGGTGTGTGATGCTAAATGAAATAAACCATACAAGAAAGACAGATACATGGTTCACTCTTGTGGATCCTGAGAAACTTAACAGAAACATGGGGAGGGGAAGGAAGGAAAAAAAAAAGGGTTAGAGAGTGGGAGAGCCAAAAGCATAAGAACTCTTAAAAACTGAATTTCCTTCGTTGATGGGAGGTGGGAGGGAGGGGAGGGAGTGTGGGTGATATAGGTAGGTATTGAGGGGAGCACCTTTGGGATGAGCACTGGGTGTTGTATAGAAACCAATTTGACAATAAACTTCATATATTGAAAAATAAAAAATAAAAAAAGTAAGAGTCTCCTAGTGCCAGCAGCTGGGGACTAGAAACAGTTACCTTCCAGAGTAGGTGGAGCAAAGCCTGGACAATTATATATGTAGACAGCATAAGACATTCTCTAACCCCTGTCCTGTTTATCCAGTCAGTACAACCAGATTTCTCCTTTGGTTTCCTGGGAACAAAACCCTGCCTTGAACCAGAGCCCATCTGACTGGGGCTCCCATCACTCAGTCCAGGTTTTGCCAGCTTCCTCCCACTGAAAGCTGCACATGGTGCTTTATAATCCACAGCTTCAGAGGGGATTAAGAAAAATGATTTGCCATACTCATGACCCCCAAACCACAACGTTTATACCTACAACTGCCACCAGTGATTTCTATTATTTCCTAAAACCTCTTCCTTGAGGGTCCTATTCATTTGGTGGTATTTTAAAACATATTTTAATGATCATTCTAAGCTACTCATTATTCTTCGGACACTTTTTTCCCCACTTATGGCTATTTCCAATACAACCAACTGTATAGCTAAGTCAATTTTTCCTAGGTTTGATCCCACTCAACCTGGGTTTCCTGTTCTACTGACTCAACTCTGTATATAAGTACAAGAGGTGCAAGAATAGTAACACCAGTGAGTGCTATGCCTAATTACTACAGGTACAACCACTAACCTACCTATAGTTCCCTTTTTTTTCTTTTGAGAGAAAGCATGGGTGCTCACATGCAGGCAGGGGATGGGCAGGGTGGGAGGGAGGAGGGAGGAAGGGAGAGAGGGAGAGAGAGAGAGAGAGGGAGAGAGGGAGAGGGAGAGGGAGGGAGAGAGAGAGAGAGAGAGGGAGGGAGGGAGGGAGGGAGAGAATCTTAAGCAGGCTCCACACTCAGCACAGAGGCCAACGTGGGGCTTAATCTCATGACCCTAGGATTATGACCTAAGCAGAAGTCAAGATTTGTATGCTCAGCCAACTAAGCCACACAGGCACCCTTTTAAAACTCTAACATTATCTTTAAAACCAGTCAACTATCCAAAGTGGATTATTTCTTTGTCTGCAAAACAGTCTATTAATTCATGCTTTCCTCTACAGGATCTTCTGTATATCTTTTTCACTTCATATGAGGGCTACCTCCAGACAGGCATGCCATATTTACAATTATGATTATGCTTTACAATTAAGTGGTTTCCTTTGAAAGCAATTATGGCAGCAGGAGCACAATCTACCAAAATACCTCCTGTGGCATATCCATTTCAAAGGATTATTAACTCATTTAATATTTTAATGTGCAAAAAAGCAACAGATTTTGAGCTAATATAGCTACTGAGTTCTTCCATTTATTAAATGAAACCGTGAAATGAAATAAATGCAACCCATAAAACAAAACTACTGATTTGTTAAATGGGCAAATCTTATCTCTTCCACAAAATTTAAGAAACAGATCATCTCATTAATAACTGATTTCTTAAAAATATGGCTCAATTTCTTTGAATCTTCTGATATTTAACATTTAACAGCTTAATAAACAAATAACAGAATACCCAGCAGAGGAAGACTTTGCGTCCTGCAAATGCTCTTTCTTCACAGAATCACCTCTCAAGCTTTCGTCCCATGATTTCTCTCTTGTGTCTTCAGAAATGTGCCCACCGCCGACACTGCCACGGGTGTCCACTGACCGTTGATTTGAATGTTTCCTGTCTCCTTCTCTCCTACCAGATTGGCTCCATGACGATGAACTTTCTTCACTGTTTTCTGTGGGTTTTCGAAAACCACGATGCACAGAATCCTGAGTGACCGGTACTGAAGATGAACTAGATGGGTCAAAATTTCTGCCCCTGCTATGAAATGACAGTTCTTCATCATCAGAGGGTCTTAAAAATTTAGGTTTCAAATTTCCAAGAGAAGAAAACTCTTGATTTTGGCTCGGATTGGATTGTCTTCTATACGTTTCTGAAGACCCCGACCTATTATCTTTTTCATCACCACTAGACCTTTCTTTATTGACACTGTTTGTAATACTTGTTGAACTATATCTATCCATTGAACTTTTATTATCTTTTACCAAGTCTGATTTTCTACTTTCTTGACTACTTTGTGCTTTATCTGAACATGTTGGTCTCCTCCACCGTTCTCGTTTACACTCTTCTTTTGTGGATGCAGTTTTTTCAGCTTCTTCTAATTTCGACTGAAATATTTCCATTGACTACAAAGGAGAGAAAGTAAACAAGATATCTGAAATTAAGAAAGGTTCAATGACTTGTACCCCCATTTGCCATTGTGCCGTGATACACCATCATATGGCACAATGAAGAAAAACCCAATAAAGGAGAGAAGAAAGAACCCATATAATCATTCTACCTGATCAGGGCTTAAGTGTGCCCTCTCCCAACTCATATGTTGAAGCCTTAACCTCTGGTACCTCAGAACATGACAGCATCTAGAGACAGGCGCTTGAAGTTCAGTTGGGCCCTAATTCAACCTGATGGATGTTCTTATAAGAAGAAATATGGAAATACAAAGAGATATAGTAGATAAGTACACAAAGAGAAAATACCATGTGAGGACATAGAGAAGGCAGCCATTTATAAGCCAAAAAGAGATGCTCCAGAAGAAACCAAACATTGTAACACCTTAATCTTGGACTTCAATTTTCCTGAACTGTGAGAAAATAAATTTCTGTTATTTAAACCACCTGGTCTGTGGAACTTTGTTATGGCAGCCCTAACAAACTAATATATCATCCTAAGATAAATGCTTAAAAAAAATACGATTACTCAACAAAAAATTACCAAACAATGAAAAAAATATAAGAACTCAAATGTGGGGCCACTTAGACCAACTGCCCAGCACTAAAACAAAATATAATACAGAAAACAGCGAAGATATCATTTATGAAAAATTAATTCCTACTGTCAGTGAGATTCAAGAGGTCACAACATTACTAAAACAAAACAGATTCTCATGAAAAAAGAACAGTCCAAGAACAAGACAAACTTGTAAATGAAAACTACGTGTCCAAAAATATGCATATATATATATATATAGTGAACAAAAGAAAAGAAAACATCCAAATTAGTGAACTCCACACTAGTCTGGGAATTCTGTCTACTTAAGAAAAGATGGTAAATAAATGTAAGTTATAAGGAAAAAAGACAAGGACAATTAACTCTAGAGAATCTAATATGCACATATGGGTACTTCCAGAAGGAAAGAGCAAAAATAGAGCAAAGTATTAACAATATAACAATAATATCAGTAATAAGAATAATATAAGAAAATTTCCCAAGCTAATTTCCACATATGAAGGGCTTATCCAGGAGTGCCTGGGTGGCTCAGTCAGTGAAGCGTCCAACTTTGGCTCAGGTCATGATCTCGCAGTCCATGAGTTCAAGCCCCGCATCGGGCTCTGTGCTGACAGCTTAGAGCCTGGAGCCTGTTTCAGATTCTGTGTCTCCCTCTCTCTCTGCCCCTCCCCCGTTCATGCTGTGTCTCTCTGTCTCAGAAATAAACGTTAAAAAATTAAAAAAAAAAAAAAATGGAAGGAAAACTTCCAAATTCATTCTATGAGGCCAACATTACCATGATACCAAATCCAGATAAAGGCAACACCAAATAAGAGAACTACAGGCCAATATCCCTGATGAACACAGATGCAAAAATTCCCAATACAATACTAGCAAACCAACAATCCCTATCAAAACAACACCAGCATTCTTCACAGAGCTAGAACAAACAATCCCAAAATTTGCATGGAACCAGAAAAGACCCCAAATAGCCAAAGCAATCCTGAAAAAGAAAACCAAAGCTGGAGGCATCACAATCACGGACTTCGAGCTGTATTACAAAGCAGTAATCATCAAGACAGTATGGTACTGGCACAAGAACAGACACTCAGATCAATGGAACAGAATAGAGAACCCAGAAACAGACCCACAAATGTATGGCCAACTACTCTTTGACAAAGCAGGGAAGAGTATCCAATGGAATAAAGACTGTCTCTTCAGCAAGTGGTGCTGGGAAAACTGGACAGTGACATGCAGAAGAATGAACCTGGACCACTTTCTAACACCATACACAAAAATAAACTCAAAATGGATGAAAGACCTAAATGGAAGACAGGAAGCCATCAAAATCCTCGAGAAGAAAGCAGGAAAAAACCTCTTTGACCTCAGTCACAGCAACTTCTTACTCAACACGTCTTCAGAGGCAAGGGAATTAAAAGCAAAAATGAACTATTGGGACCTCACCAAAATAAAAACCTTCTGCACAGCAAAGGAACTAATCAGCAAAACAAAAGGAAACCAATAGAATGGGAGAAGATATTTGCCAATGACATATCAGATAAAGGGTTAGTATCCAAAATCTATAAAGAACTTATCAAACTCAACACCCAAAAAACAAATAATCCAGTGAAGAAATGGGCAAAAGACATGAATAGACACTTTTCCAAAGAGACATCCAGATGGCCAACCAACACATGAAAAAATGCTCAACATCATTCATCATCAGGGAAATATAAATCAAAACTACAATGAGATACCACATCACCTTGTCAGAATGGCTAACGTTAACAACTCAG